AGAAATTCGGTGACTTATGTGTAAGGGCTGCGATAACTGTTGGAACACTTAATATACCCACGAGATGCCCTTCCCTAGCAAGTATAATTTTCATCTTGCCCCTGTTGGCTTAATGTGTTACAAATAAGGAACGAAATTTCATTTCCGCTACAAGACGGATGGGGTTGTTGAAGTAATCTGTTTATTCGCTTTACCTGTGATAAGCTTCAGAAAAGTTACAGTGTACATATTGTGAAGTGTATAGGAGAGGGAATTGGATTTTATGATGATTTTTTTGTAATTGTATTCTATATATCTTATTATTATTAATTATTTTAAATTTATTTTTAAAATGTTATGACAGTATCATTTTTCGTTCCGTCTTACTAATGTGAATGTGTGTCTGTAATGCACTTACAAGATTGGAGTTTATTGAAATTCCAAAGGTTCGCTTCATGGCACATTACGTAGGTCATTATTGCATTCATTACATCCCAGGTATTTGTTGAAAAACTATTTTATAAAATGTGCTTTGGTGTTTGTTGCCCAACACTGACAGAGCGACCTCTGTTTCCAATTTTTACGTGCCAGGGCCCCTGTCCTACGGGTTGCATGCCTCTCTTCCTACCTCAAACGCGACAACCAGACGGACATAGACTAGGGCGAATTCTTCGTTCACACTAGAGTGTGAAGAACACTTTAACAGGAATGAATTGCACGGAATTCGTAATTGGTAAGAGTAACAATATATATATGAATTAAGAAAGACAGTATAGCAATTTTTGAAATTCGTAATTGGTAAGAGTAAAAATATATATAGGAATTAAGAAAGACAGTATAGCAATTTTTAAGTACACAGTTTATTACTGAACCTCAACAGAAACAATTGAAAGAGAATATAAAAATATTAAGATAAGTTAATTTAACATATTCGTGCACTAAATTTCTCACAAATTATAATTTTTGTGAGCGCACTTTTTAATAAAGTGCACCTTAACCTGGTAATGTGAACCTGAAATTGACACCGTGATGAACAAAGGAAAGAGAGTAAATTGTCACGCACGTGGTACCGACAGCGCTTTTATGAGAACTGGAAATTCGCGTGAACACGCCGTGTTCCTGCGCGCGCCGCCATCGGAGACAAAGGAAAACAAATTTCATGATTTTGTTTGTATCCCGCAAACATGCATGCAGAATGTTACTGTAATACACGCATTAAGAGATCACTAAATGCTCGTATTACGAGGAATAAGCGACGAAAAAGATCCCAGGTAACAACGCGAATGTTTGCCGGTTATTATGTAATTGGATTTTTTGAGCTCCTCTGTTAATACTCTAATAGAATTAGACCACCAGATCTACTAAGCAGCAGCTGGTTCATATTAAAATGAAACGAAAAAACAATTGAGGCCACTCTGAAGGTGGGCACAGACTACTTGTCAGTTTACAGGTGCTACTGCTCAGTAGACCAACTTCAACAACTTCGCTGCCTGACTTCTTTTCACTATCTCCGTACATAAGATTAGATTATTGACGGAAATTTGCATCTACCTGAAGCCAAATGTTTCTTCTCCATTATAAGCTGTTTCATGAATCGCATTACCAAGAGAGTTTTAAGGCCTTATTTTCGGTATCGTTTTAGGTCATGATCACACTCCTGTGTTTGCCACAGAACGTATCGTTTTAGGTCATGCGTTTGATCACACTCCTGTGTTTGCCACAGAACTTTCTTGATTAGGTGAGCGACTGTAAGCTTTCAAGGATTATGCTGCGTGGAGATAGTTAATCATAGGTTCTGTAAAGGTCTGAAAAATATGTGATTCGTTATAAAATTACGCTAATATTTTAAATATTCCTTATTCTATGAAGTATAGTTGATACACACTACGTTTCGGGAGGTACTGTCCACAGATCACGAGAAAAACCCTGCTGTGGGAAGTCGTTTCTGGTGCGGTGCGGGGGGAATGTTTACTGCCTGGTGGACTAGAGGGCTGCTATTGGTGGGAAGTGTGATACGTCAGAGTTTAAGGCTACTACACACAGACTGAAAACATCAAGCAGTTAAGAGTAGCGTGTAGTGAGCGCACCTCTAATGTGTTCTGCGGGTGTTGCGATAATATTCTAGATTAAATCACTGTTTGTTATATGGGCGGAGTTTTATTGTCATTTTTGTTTGTATTAATTCTCTTGTTAAATTTAGAGACAACGGCTGATGTAAATACATTAAAAACTAACAATCACTGAATATAATGATAGTCTGTCAGGAATAATTTTACTTCCCGAAACGTCGTGTAAATATTATATAGATAAGAAATGAAGCCGCTGTTTACATGTTAGTGGTTTTAAAAAAATGATGCATGCCTTATTTCGTGCAAATTTGAAAGCTTCAAATTTTGGAGTATGAACGTGGAAGGGAATAGAAACCGAAGATTTCTAGGGACGCCCGCTAGGTGTCAGGCGTGAATGAGTGTGGCGCGCGCTGCTTGCCGGGCCGTTGAGCCGGAGTCTGCAGTCAGCGAGTGGTCGGCGTACAGTGCGGTGGAGCAGCTTAAAACGCGCGGGATTACCCCCCTCCGCCTGTATATTCACACACAAACGAGGTAATCCATCAGAACCTTGTCAGTTGTGGCACATCTTATTGGTCAGTCCACATGGGACTTTCTAGTGCGACGGAATAAAGGCGATGGTTTATGACAATGAATCACAGAGACATTTTGACAAAACGGTCAAATGACATGTTGTGATCTTCAATAAACAATCCTAAACTTTCTCGTAAACATTAGATGTCTACATTAAGTGTTCTAATTTTATGCATCTAATTAAAAATATCACATGTGTTATGCACAATAAATATGAATTTAGCTTTCCATAGCTGCATCTAGTTGGTAGATATTTAATAAACATTGTGAGAGTAGTAGTTGCTTTTGGTTTCGTTTTAGGTAACCTAATAAATTACTGGCAGTGTCAAATGAACCAAGTTTTCGTAACAGCATTTTTGTGGCAAACAGAAAGACGAAAGTTTAAGGGCAACAATTTTAACAATGATATTATCGTGGATGTTCGAAGTGGTTTTGATGCCGTCATGTAGTGGTAATGGACACACGTGTCTGTCTGTCTACGCGACAGGATAATACTCATCAACTTTTGCCCAGTGCTGTGTATGTGACGTAATGTTTTGCATATTTAGTGTTCCTTCGTGATTAATACCAGTGGCATCAACTACAGACAAAGGTGAAAATATATTTGTGTGTTGCTGTCGGGAGTAGTAATTCAACACTGTTCATACATCAGTTCTTCTTTTACACTCCTTCCGCGTTCCATGTGTTCAGTGTTCGACTAAATAAAAATGTTTCCTCTTCAGCTTGTTCAACAACAAGTGACTACGAATCCTAAGAGTTAGTCTTTTTTCCCTTCACGATAACGTGACAGTGGAAACATTCGCATGACAAGTGAAGTGTTATAAAGGCTTCAGAATTACGAGCAGCGTTTGTCAGTTGTCAGCACGAAGCAAACTGCACACAGAAACATGAGACTGCTGTTCAAGGCCGAGAACCACGCAGTGGGCGGTCGCAACCCTTTCGCGTGGACACTCAGTTGGGTGCTGATGTGGCTTCAACTCTGCATGGGTGAGTCCTACCAACAGATATTTAAGGGTTTTATCCAGATGTTCTGTGCACCAGTTTGGCGACTCCGTAGAACGCTTGTTTCTTTAGCAGGTAAATTTCCACAGGAAAATATGTTTTAATTCTGGCTGTGAAGCAATCGATTTACGAGCTTTTCAGTACCAACGAGGTAAAATTGTAATTTGTCGAATGGAAATTTTTCGGCTAGTTGCAGACCTGGAATAAAGGGCTTTTTAATCTTGTCATTTTCCTTCAGGAAAAATTAGAACATCGATCGCTACTCTTGTCTTTGTAATAAGGAATCATAAATTGAAATATTTAGAGTTTGTTTACCCATCCCAGCGTTGTGAAATATATCAGTACATCCGGGGTTTGAAGATAATGTCAACAAAACTGGTTACATACGTTTAGTGCGCTGTGTGTTAGTGACAGGAGCCAAATTCAGTGACAGGCTGGCTGAAGTAAATGCCTGAGGTAGATGTTATTTTTAATCCTCCTTACGCGACATATAAACTGAATTTATTGACAGGTATAAATCTTCTTCTTTCTTTGTAGCAACGTTACCGGCACATCACAAAATATTTAAGGCAAAGCGGACGAAAGCCTCTTATATTTAGAGGTACAGAGTGGTCGTAAAGTCACGCAACACATATTAAAATCTTTATTGATGTTTGCATTTCAGTACATTTCGAATGGATTTCTAAGCACAATGTCGATGTGGGGAGTATACAGAAGTCATCGTAGGTCACGTCACGTTGTAACCTGCTCGCTTCAGTACGCCAGCTGACTGTCAATATTTCAAGTGCAAGGATGTCATATTCATAAGTGCAAGTGTTCATTGTCGAACACTACCTGGCATCTCGTTCTTACGCGGGTTGGGAGTACATACATCGATTCTCCTGTGCCAAGCGGAGGACATCTTCAATACTTCATGAAACGTTTTGTTTTTGTTTTCTTGCTTTAATGTCATTTATTTTATGACAAATAGAACATGTGTTAGAAATGGGTTTCGTGACTTTTAGAACATTCTGTACAGAATCTTTTTGTTGGATTCGCTGTGGATAATAAATACGAAGTGATTTTGGAACATGGAACATTTCGCTAAACTACATTTGCCTTCACCTGTTTTTTCGCGTAAGAATTAGTCGATTCATTCGTTCATGATATCAAATTAAAATGTGTTTTTACTCGGCGTGGGCGAGTTTGTAATCCTGCAACGTGAATCAAAATTTCATTCGTCTTTCATATGAAATATCTTCTCTTCACGTATGAGTTTTTGCAGCCCACGCTCCGTGCATAGCATCTGTGGAAAAAAAAAACTTGTATCATATGGGGGAGAGTGTGGAAAATTTGAAGTCTGACTCGTCCGCCGTCTGATGGTTTATTATCTTCGTCGTGTAAATGAAGTTCCCATTTTCTTGTTCGAAATGTTTACACATTCCACAACATAGTTAACGGCGTTAATTAAAAAATTAATAATAATAATATACTCTTATTACATGGGAGAAGGTATTTTCATTTTGTGAAGAGCAGATTGAATTTATCGATGCGGAAAATATGCATTAATATAATTTGACGTTATGAGGTGGTTAATTAAATGCAGGCCTAGAAGCCGTCATGTAAACCTGTGGTTATATTATGTGTTCTGTTGGCGTAACAACAAAAGCTTTGAACTAAAGGCTCGAGGAAATTTCAATAATTATAGTGTTTAATCTAAAATGGATATGAATTGTATGAAATCATTATTTGTATTTAATTGTACGGATTGTAAAGTGGCATCTGCATCCGCTCATTCGTATGGTTTTTATTACCAAGACTCTGGCGAATCGTGGTTAAAGCGTAATTAAACGAGGAAAATCATTTTATTAAACATGGCAAAAAGTTTCAAAATGTTACATAATTAATATGAAAAGAAAGGTTGTGCAGTTATAATAAGCATTTTGCCAATAAAATCATTCACATTCGGACGACAAACAAAAGACATGAAAATTTAAAGGCTGTTCAGTAGCTGGGGTTAAAACTGTGCGTTTCTCCTACGTCACTAGCTTCCAGGTAGAAGGAAAACATGGTTTGATAAACCGTAGGGTGGAATGATAGGTGACACGATACTTGAAAATTTCTGTGGTCTGAATCGAGGAGACGCCAAAAACCAAGGCGAAACATGGGAAAGATAGAATGAGAGCGTTAAGTCGAAACAGGCTGGATTTTGTGAACGCCGTAATGAACTTTCGTTTTCCATAAGAGACAAGATTTTTTGACCAGCTGATTGTAGTCATAACACCTTAAGAATTCTTTTAATTTTCGCGGTGTGAAAGACAGCTTTCAACCAAGCGTGCGAAAGTTAATGTCGGGCCACCTCCGTTAAGTGTGTGGCAGTGTTGTAACTGGCGTAACAAAATCAACACTAATGGTATCTATTATGTCACTGTGAGGTCGTCATGAGTTTGTTTTCTCTGTGGTCCATTGTACACACAGAGGTTACTTCAAGGAAACCATGTAATTAAGGAACTTGCTTATACACATCCGACTGCTTTGTTATCTAATGTGTGACCAGCTTTGTGTTAAACGCGTTATACTGTGGAGGGAGGACTTTACATCAAATAGTTTGTGAGATTTCTGGCTGTCTTCTGGGTTGTTACATGTTTGAAATGCATTGGTGATGGAGACAGAAAGAAACTCCGAAACGTCGGCATAATTCTCCCACACTAGACCCACAAGAAAGGAGAAAACCATCTTTATACTCGTCACCGTGAGAAGCTGAAATATTGCATAATATATTGCGTGATTAACATCTAGTTTATGTCGTTGTTTGTTCTCCCTGATAAGATTTGTCTACGATTTTGGAAGAGTCAGACAAGAACAAATCTTGTACAGATCGTGTTGCTTTATGAAAACTGATTTCCGGCAATTAGAATATTCAATGATTTATGTAACACTACTGCTGATTTCTTAAATCTGTATTCCTCGAAGTAAATTTAATACAATTAATAAGTATTACACTCTACAGCACTGTGGACCCTGTATGTACGAGGGTCGCTCATTAAGTAATGCCCCACATTTTGTTTCTCAGCCAATAATGAAGATAGAAAAGTGTACTTTTACATGCTTGAGATTTGATGTTTCCCGCGTTCGTGTACGGAGTTTCAAATGATTCCAACCGATAGCGGAGCTGTAGTGAACTGTTAAAATGGCGTCTGTGAACGACTCTCGTTACAAGCAACGAGCTGTAATTGAATTCCTTGTTGCTGAAAAAGAAACGGTGGTGAACATTCATAAACGTTTGTGTGCTGTGTATGGAAGCTGTGCAGTCGATAGGAGCACCGTTGGTCGCTGGGCTAAGAGAGTTAAAGCTTCAGGAAGTGAAGAAACCGAGCTCCGTGATCTGCCGCGCTCTGGGCGTCCTGCCACAGCCACCACTCCAGACATGTTGAACCGCGCGGATGCCATTATTCGTGAGGATCGGCGCATCACAACTCGACAATTGGCCCAACAGCTTTCAGTCAGCAATGGAAGTGTGATTGCAATTATCCGGGCTCTTGCATATTCGAAGGTGTGCGCAAGATGGGTTCCACGAAGTCTCACAGCAGACCACAGGATTCAAAGGAAAACGATTTCTTCTGAATTGTTGGAGCGTTTTGATGCTGAGGGAGAGGTCTTTCTGTCCCGGATCATTACAGGTGACGAAACCTGGATACACCACTTTGAGCCAGAGACAAAAAGGCAGTCAATGGAGTGGCATCATCCTCAATCACCGAGAAAGAAGAAATTCAAGACAACTCCCTCCGCCGGAAAAGTCATGATGACTGTCTTTTGGGACAGTGATGGGGTCATTCTTGTGGATGTGATGCCAAGAGGTGCGACCATCAATTCAGACGCGTACATCAGGACCCTGAAAACCCTCAAGAAGCGTTTTCGACGAGTTCGGCCTCACAAGCATCCAGCAGAAATTTTGCTCCTGCACGACAATGCACGCCCTCACACAAGTCTGAGAACCCGGGAAGAAATCACCAAATTGGGTTGGACGGTGCTACCCCATCCACCCTACAGTCCAGATCTGGCACCCTCCGACTTCCATCTCTTTGGGCCCCTTAAAGATGCTATCCGCGGAACAAGATTTGAAGATGACGAGAGCGTGATTCAAGCAGTGAGGACATGGCTACGGGGACAGGACAAGAGCTGGTACCGGCAAGGCATGCATGCCCTTGTTCCACGCTGGCGTAAAACCGTACAAGTTGATGGGGACTATGTGGAAAAATAGTATGTGTAAAGGAAACATTGATTTATATTGTCACTAAATTTGAGCCATCTTGAATAAATATGTTCTGAGGAAAAAAATGTGGGGCATTACTTAATGAGCGACCCTCGTACGAAATGCTGTACCATTCATTATCATTATAAACACAGATTCTTCTTTTAAACAGCTTTGACCAATTGATATTTGCAATGGAGACGCTCTGTGTTTTCTTTGAGGTAAGAACTGAATTTTTAAATGCTGTTTAGAGAGGTTTAGGCGGCATATTATAGATTACTAGTAAGGCGAATCAGTGCTACAATAGACCATTAAACAAGGTTCGATGTATCATGCATGACCTCCATTCAGAACAGGCATAATGTGTCGTAAACATGCTGAATATCTTTGTGCTGCCTAATGATATTATACTAAACAATAGGCAACGATTAAAGGATGCTAACAGTGTTTCTAATAGCAGCGTACGTATGCAAGGTTTAATCGGTGGGATTAGACAAAGACGAATACATCCAAAATGTGACTTTCTTATGGGATATTATGTTGGCGTGCAGACATCATTATTTTATCAATATAATCGTGATTCTATGGGTGTTTCTTGACAGTATTTAAAGTGCTGAGTAAAATAGACGATGAATAAATCCATGCTTGAGCTACGCCACAGTAAGAAGGGTAAGGATATTGGATTTACCTGTAATGAAAACTAAAGAAAAAAATATTGCTTTCAGTTTAGACAGAATCTGTGGCTTTTTGGTAC